ATGACACTTCTAATATCTTATGATTTTATAACATAATTGATCAATTAATTTATGTCATATTTTATGATAACAATATATATTATAAATATGTGTTCATAATTATGTATTTTAATCCAACACATAAACCTCGCAGACCTTCCAAAACCATGCTCTTTGAGATTGTCCCAGCCCATATATGCCTTTCTCAGCAACATTACCTTGCTCTTGATTCCCCAGTTGTTCAACGTTGAACTTTGTATGCCCTCTTCTCTCAATCAAAGATTGATCAAAAAAGGGTGAGTGGGGGCAGTCGCGCTATTTTAGATATTTTCTTAATATTTTTAATTGATTATTTACTTTTGTCTTTAAAAATTTTATAAATTTATCCCTTCATACAAGATCTTACGTTTGTCCATGTTAACGAAGACATTCTTCATATCATATTTACTAGGTTGTCAGCCTCTTATCTTCAAGTGATATGGAGATTAGGATAGTATTAGTTTTTGCCACGTGCAAATGTTTAAAGTTTTTCTTTAAACCATTCAACGGACTTTAAATGTTTCAACTGGCTCATTAGTTTACATTTAATTGTGAAATCTATTGATCAATTAATCCGGATCAGGTACTGAAGAGGCAAGGATGACCCCCCAACCCAGTTTACTCCATTCGCAATCATCATGATTCGAACCCCTGACCATCCAGCTCAGTTGGTAGAGCACAAGGCTCTTAATCTTGGGGTCGTGGGATCGAGTCTCACGAAGGGCATTTCATAATTCGGAGGTCTCCTACGGAAGCTGCTCTCAACCTGGCGTTGGGAGCAGCCTACTATCATACCTCCCTCTTACCCCATTACATATGGGAATAAGGGTCAACTAATTATATTTTTGTTGCGCTCTCTCTATATATAATAATTATTACTTACTATAGTCATTTTAGACTCTATTCTTTTTTAAAGTATTTTAACCTTTAACGTTTTATTTTAAGATAAAAATATATCTCTATAGATAAAAATCAATAGTTAACAAACTGTTAATGCTCCAAAATTAGAGCCTTTTATCCTAAAATGAAACGTTGGGGTCAAAATGCTCTATAAAAAGAATAATGACCAAAGTGACTATTCAATCAAATATTAGGGGTTTTTTTGCTCTAAAATAAAGTGTTGGTGCCAAAATACTCTAAAAACGTAGGAATCAAAATGATCATTTTGGAAAACATTAGGAGTAATTTTGAATTATGCCACTTTTTTTTATTAGGGTTACTTATTGTTGCGTTTAGAAATATATAAGTGTTTTTCTTTATTGATGTTGATAGGTTCTGGAAGTTGTAGGTCAATTTTTAGTTGTTCTAAAACTGAAGTTTGTCTATTGATTACAGGAATGAAAATAAAATTAAAATGTCATATGATACAAGTTGATGAGTTTAAATATAAAATGAGAACCAACACCGGTTGGTTTAATAGGATGAGACACTAGATCCTTTAAGAATGTCAGGGGTTCGAATCATGATGATTGCGAATGGAGTAAACTGGGTTGGGGGGTCATCCTTGCCTCTGCAGTACCTGATTCGGATTAATTGATCAATAGATCGGATACCAGTAGTTATACCAAAACATAAAATGAGAGGTTTAAAGGGTAAATTACGTGTTTAGTACTTAAATTATTAATTTAGATTCGTTTTAGTACTTAAAATTTTAAAATTTTAAAAACCATACCTAAAATTTAGTTTTTATTTCATTTTAGTACCTGATCAAAATTTAACGTTAGTTTTGAAAAATATTTGAAAGTTTAGGTACTAAAAGGGATCAAAACTGATAGTTTAGGTACTAAACGCGTGAAGTTTTTAACGGCAGGATACTAAAATAAAATAAAAACTAACTTTTACATATGGTTTTAAAAAAATTAAAAGTTTAGGTATAAAACGAACTAAAACTGATAAATTAGGTATTAAATACGTAGTTTATCCAAGTTTAAAATGAGATAAAAAAAATGCAAAGTGAAAATATGTATACTTGAAGGGTTAACTTGTGAACTATGTTTTTCCTTTTTATATAAAATGTCTAATCTACAAATAATCTTTACAATCTTTAAATATGAGGTAATTGTGTTTATTTTAAATTTGACAATTTCTATGAGGTGCTAATCAAATTAAGAACTAATCAAAAATAATTAAGAATGTCTTAAAAATAATAGAAATTATATGTGTATATAAATTGAACATTTTTATTAAATAAGTATTTAATTTTCTCATGTTAGCTCCAGTCTAATGTGATTTATTCTTTGAGCACTTTTCAATGGAATCAATATTGCATTAAAATAATAATGATTTTTGAAGTTTTTTTCCCCTACAATTCAAAAATGATAACTACATAATTTTTTTACAATGTTTTTGTGTGATATACTTCTTTCTCTTTTATTTTTGTTTAGTCGTAACAACACCAATTTTAATGTTGATTACCGCCAGTGACTATTAATTTTCTTGTTTTTTTTCATATTGTGTGTTTTATTTTTTTTCTTGAGTCTTTTTAATTTTGAATAATAATCTCTATCCTTGTGACACATTTTTCTCTGCTCTTATGACATGTGTTTTCTCTGTTCTTGAGGCACGATCCTTATGGTTTTTAGTATGTTTTTCGCATACATTTGTTGTCGTTTTGGTACTCGTACAAAAACCATCACGACATTTGTTTTCTAATTGGTTTGTCGGTGGTCACGTATAGTCAGCTCTTTTATTTGGTAAAAGGTTATTTGCCGATATAATCAGAATTGTGTAGCGAAGTAGCCTAACAGATTGTTTGATTTGCTCTCCACTCCTTTATCACTTTGTAAAATGTCTCATTCGACAAAGATAAAGATTTTTTATGAAGGGTATTGGATTTTGATGTTGGTCGTTATTCTCAATGGAATGTTTTCTTTTTCTTCATATCTTTAGGTTTAATATATTATTTTTGTATGAGTATTTTAGTGACTATTGTCTCTAATTTTCTATTTATATTTTGATACGTTGTAACTTTGATTCCTTTCATTATTAGTTGTCATTGTTCAAAAAAATCAATGATAAGTACTTTTTATGCTAAAATAATACTTATGAGTCTTATTTTAGATATCAAAATCTAAATAGGTTTAATGTAAAAATAAGTGTCTAAACTATTCTCTAAGTTAACTCTTTTAGATATCTAAATAATTTTCATTAAAAATATGTGCATAGCATTTTATTCGTTATAATTTTAGATTTATGACCGTTAAATTTGACTGTTAAATGACACGTGTTAAGCTTAAAAAATTTTAAAAATTTTATTTTAAGATAAAAAAATGTAAAATTTATAATTTATTTATAAAAAACTCAAAATTTTACAAAATTAGCAGGAAAAAAACTCAGAACTTTTTTAAAATCTGAAAAATAATCAAAATCCCTAAAACTTCGAATTCCAAATCCTATTACAACTGCCGACTATCTTCGGTCACCGTCGCCGAGCAATTATCTAACTGTCATCTTCTCAAACTTCTAAATTCATAAATTCCTAAAATCTCAAATACCTAAATTCATGTAATTTTATCAGCTCGGCCATTTCATCTTACTATTGAAGTTTTCAATTCAAGTGGGAGAGAAAGGATTCAAAACTTTGTGCGGAGAAAAGGTTGCTAAAGTTTTGGCGATATGCAGCAGTAGCGAGAGGGGAGCGGGGAATTGTTAATCTGCAGTCTTTTTGGCTGAGGAATTATCAAAGTATTATCAGCCCTTGTCGTGGTTGCTTGGGGGAAACAAGGGGGTTTATCCGGTCATCAGTGTTAGGGTGTCGGCCGATCGTCGATGTTGGTGGTCGGAGGGGACGAATTTCCGCCGAAAGGTGAACGGGCGGCTGAAAGGATATTGGGTATTTTAGATTTTTCTGTATTTTTTAAATTAGTTTTTTTCTAAAAAAAGAACAATATATTTATTAATTTTTTTTAAAAAAAATAAAAAATAATAGTAACACATGTTAAATAAATGTCGAATTTAATGGTGATTATAGTAAAATCACTTAGAATATTAGAAACTTAATTTTAATAAAATAATCTTTAGACACTTAAAATTGACATAGTACATAATTTAAAGGCATAATGAAATAAAACTCATTGTTTTTTTAAGAACATTTTACACTGAACATTTATTTTTAGGTCAAAAATAACCCACATTAGATAAAAATCGTCAATCAACTGACGGTCAACATTGGGTGCTAATGAAACGCGCACTCGTGAAGGGGAAAATTGATGTGGACGTCCAGATAATCGAGATCGTTAATTCTAATTAATCAGAGAGTATCATATGTCGCTCTCTTATTGGTGCACAATGAAAATGATGAAATGCATAGGGGAGTTAAACCTGGGTCTCTCCGGTGCATTGCTTCTCATTTTGCCACCGGGCTAGGTTATTTATTGAAGTAATGAATGAAACAGATTGTATTTAATAGATGCTTCCGTCTTAATATCATTAAAAAAACAAAACAAAACACGTGTTGTTATTCCCCTTATATCTGCTCACAATTTGATTTCCCCATACCGATTCTTCTCAACTTCACTATTTGTCTTCTCTCGTTTGGGAGCAATTGAATCAATTTCATCAATGAAGATAATGGATGGTGCATTCTTCTCTGCTTCTTCAAATGCTTTTTTGAGATTGCTTTCACTCTCTCCAGCTAATTTTGACATGATCTCTGGTCCATTGATGCAGAAAAAGAAAGCATCGATTTCATTAGCAACAGCACGGGCAATCAAAGTCTTTCCAGATTCAGGACTCCCATAAAGCAAAATTCCTTTAGGTGCACCAATCGACTTAAAGAGCTGTGGATGCCTCAACGGAAGCTCCACTAATTCACGGATCTGTGCCATCTGTTTTCTCACTCCACCAACATCATCATAACCTACCTCATCTAATCTATTCTCATCCTCCTTCTTGATAGGTTCTCCCTCACAGAATATATGTCTGGTGCAACTACACATTACTCAGCAGGGTCGGTTTCAATAACCTTGAATTCCACACTTCTCATTCCACCTGTGGCAAGGAAGAAATCACCCTTCCTCACTGGGCGGTAGGCTTCCAGAAAGTATGTTGTAAATGCAAGACTAATGTAATCAGTATTTACAGTCAAACATTATATGTAATTTAACATCAAACCAAATCCTCAATAAGATTAATTATTGAGTCACCAAGGATGCATGTGTGATTATATGATTAATTATTGAGTCACCAAAGATGCATGTGTAATGATATGAGTCCACCATGGATGTATAGATCAATCGATACAAAGCAAGTGAAAAGAAAGTAACATTCAACAAAGGCAGTTTATAAACTCCTTAAAGAGAAAGAAATACAAACTCCTTAAATGCTTGAGGCCGTGAATAATTGCCTTCACAGCATACAAGTGTACTCGATGATGTGAGAAAAACACACTTGGTAGGCTAATTTATGTTATTCAATAAACCAATGGACTTTGATCAATTAAAAAAACAAAGAAACTATTTTACCCCTTTAACTGCTGAGATCAACAAAACTACTATTAATAAATCACAAAAGACAAATCCATATATAAGTCGGGAATAAAGCATAAAGACTAAACTCACGTTTAAGGTAAGCATCGAAGAGATTTCAAGTGACCCCTTCAATAGTATCATCCACGGGTAAGATGTGCACTCGTTTCCCATACTTAACATCAGGACACTGATGCACCGAGACAACATCACCGAGCCTAACCCTCAAGTTTGACCTGACAACTTTATTCATCCTGATCTTCGGTTCATCACATGTTTCGTCGGCGAGAGCATTACAGATAGTATCTTTCCTCTTCTTTCCCTATGGACCAAAATAAAACATAAACGACAGTGGTTGCAAGTTATTTATAAGCTTAAATACATTGAAATTCTTAAACTCAAACTCAAAAAATTGCAATTCCAATAACACAAACTAGAGAAACAATATTGACCACCCAGCAACATAATCATAATTCCAATCTACAGCAAGAGAAACCCAAACCGGATATCAATTACAAGACAACATAAAAAGCCAATGAGACTCATAATTCGCCAAACAAAACCCCAAAATCTAAAACAAAACAAATAATTAGCATAAAAAATCTCCATTAACCAAATAATAATAATAATAAAAACAACCTACAATAAACTCTCATCATGAATCCAACCTAGCGCAAGAGAGACCCAAATCGATTATCAATTCAAAACAACATAGAAAGCCCATGAGAATAATCACATGAAACCACGACAAACATAAACAAATATCCATTAATCAAACAAAACAAAAGAACCCAAATCCTAAAATGGAAACCTTGACGAGGATAGTGTCACCGTGAAACAACTGGAGCTTTTCCATGGTATCGGGATGAATAGCAACAACGGAGTTATCATCGTTGACTGCCTCATCGACAACGAGCCGATTCGGTGCCTTATTTCTTTCCAAGATCGCAGTACTGAAATCCCTCTTAGTCCCTTTCATGAAAAACATAAAATTCGTTATCAACTTGCATTTACCATTTAGTTCGACTCAAAATTGATCGGTCCATTTACCAATATTCTCACTACCAATCTATTGGTAAACTCACCTTCGAAATCGTTGATGTAGTGAGAATAATAGATTGAAAAATAAGAAAACTCACCTTCGTTATCAACTTGAAGTTGATGCTTCAAATGAATTTGAAAAAAATCGTAGGTTAAACGAACCCTAAACCCTAATATTTTGGGAAGAATCGGGTATGGGGAAATCAAATTGTGAACGGATATAAGGAATAGCAACACGTGTTTTGTTTTGTTTTTTTATTTTATGAAATTCAGACGGAAGCATCTATTAAGTACAATCTGTTTCATTTATTACTTTAGTAAATAGTCTAGCCTGGTGGCAAAATGAGAAGCAGCACACCTGAGAGACTTTGGTTTGAGTCTGGTGGCAAAATGAGAAGCAGCACACCTGAGAGACTTAGGTTTGAGTCCCTTTTCATGTATTTTACCATTTTCATTATAAAAAAATAATTAATAATTTTTAAAAAATGATAGCACCCGACGTTGACCGTCAGTTGACTGACGGTTTTCATCCAGTATTGGTTATTTTTAACCCAAACATAAATATTCAGTGCACAAATGTTCAAAAAAAAATAATACAGATAGATTTGACATTACTGTCAAACGTTAAAGTTATTTTGTTGCATTATGCCAAATTTAAACACTTAATCCTGCATTAAACTTTATATATATACAATAAATTTAACAAAATACATTGATTTAAGTCTCTCCACAACAAAATTAAACTATTAGTAATATATTCATATAAAAGAAGGAAAAGGTTTACAGTCTGCTAAATAACTATAGAGAAGCTCAAACTGGTATCACATATACTAAAAACTTTAAAAATTAAAATTAAAACTTTAAAATAAATCTCATCAATACAGTTTGATGCAAACTATGGTGTTATATTTTAAAAACATTATAAATTTAATCTTAATTATACTTTAAAGCGAGGGGAAAGAAAATAGAATATTTCTAATGCTTAAAATTCATGATCTAAGAAAATAAAAGGGAACATATATGAACATCTTATGTGTTTGCTTATGATTTACATTTTTGAATTATAGGAGGAAATCTAATAATCTATTTTACTCGAGATTAAATTTATTGAAATTGCGTTTTAAGGAATGACAACAATGGGCGAGAAATAATTGAAGACTCCCCGATAAAAATGATTGATTTTTGAACAAATTATGTATTTAGTATTTCATAATCTCGTAACGTTCCTGTGTTGATCAATTAATTATTTACAAAATCATATTTAATACTGAATAAAACATGCATTTAGAGAAGCCGACAAGGGCCAACATATCAGCAAGCAACAGCAGTGGATTGATAAGATCTTCGCCGGCTGGCAGTATCGAATAGTTTATTAGACACAAACAAATAATTTATTAGACAATGATTTATCTAATCAGATACGATCTTCCCCTTTGCTAGTGGGGCTGCTAAAAAGTATAAACTGAGAAACGATGAACTATAATAATTGCTCATAAAAACACAGATATGGTAAAAGGATGAAGGATACATTCTATATATCACACGGATCACCGGCGCTGCCGATAGACGACTCACTTCCGGCAAAGCAATTCTTGGTGTCGTGGAAGGACAAAGTGTTTCCCCAAACACCCAAATCCATCCTCGTCATTTCTGCTCACTGGGACACTTGTTTTCCCTCCGTCAACATTGTTCCCCGCAATGACACGATCCATGACTTCTCTGGTTTCCCCGATCCTTTGTACAAGGTGCCTTTTCTTACCCTCCTAACTTTAATTATTGGGTAAATTATACGTTTACTATCTCAATTATCGCTTTTATTTTGTTTTTGGCCATCAAACTATTATTTTAAAATCATACATAACGTTTATTTTTATTTAGTTTTTGGTCTAGCTTCATGATGGTTTTTTAAAAAGTTTTGTGAAAAGATATGTGTCATCACTAATCATTTTAAGATGAGATTGGAACACCTAAAATCGAGTAATTATAATAAAACATTTTATTTTACTAAAATGCCAAAGTTTTGTTATGAGAAATTAGAAAACTGATTCATGAGTTAGTTATGCGTAGGGAATTATTAGTACCTCTACAGCGCCCAAAATTGACACCAAAATTTTATCATATCTTATTCAACAAGTTAACGTCCAGCTCAGGCTGTCGTCGATTTTTAATGGAAAATGATGAGTTTGGAATATGTAAATAGTCGAGTGATCATTTTGTAACTTTTAGTAGTTAGAGGGCTCAACAAAGTAACGTCCTATAGTCAGGGGACCATTTGTATAGTTATCTAATTTTTTAATGGTGAGTGACCAAATTTAAACATTATATATGATTTTAAAAAACAAATAATTGAGTTGCCAAAATAGAACAAAAATGATAGTTGGAATACTAAGCGTATAGTTTACCCTTAGTTATTTCGCACTGGTGGAGTGTTTTTATGAGCTCTATCGCGTTGTTAACAGTTGGAGTATCCGGCACCAGGGGCACCGGAGTTGGCACTGAGAGTGAAGGAATTGCTGATTGCATCAGGGTTAGAGCATGTGGACGAAGATAGAGGACGTGGTCTGGACCATGGTGCATGGGTTCCGCTGATGCTCATGTATCCAGAGGCCGATATCCCGGTGTGCCAACTCTCTGTTCAATCGGAAAGGGATGGGAATTACCACTACAACATGGGAAAGGCTTTGGTCCCTCTCAAGGACCAAGGTGTTCTCATCATGGGTTCAGGGGCCGCAACTCATAACTTGGAGGTTCTTAGTAAGGACTTGGACGGTGTTGTGCTTCCCTGGGCTTTGGAGTTCGATACTTGGCTTAAAGATGCTCTCCTTCAAGGAAGGTACGTACCATGAATTTGGGATAATAAAAAAAAATACCATTGGATTAAATAATTTTTTAGTTTATATTTTTTATGAAATATTTTAGTCTCTAATATTTCACTTCATACTAAAAATGTTCATAACATTTAATTAAATAGTCATTTCGTCACATATTCTTTTTTTAGAGTAGTTTGAATTTAACATTTCGTTTTAAGAAAAAATATCTTAATTTTGGAGATTGTCCATTAGTTGACTAACAATTTTCATCCACATATGACATTTTTTTTGCTCAAAATGAAATAATAGGGGCTAAAATGCTCCCAAAAAAAGGAATATGGGTTAAAATGATATTTAATCAAATGTTAGAGGCATTTTTATATGAATAATGTCAAAAAATGTCCTTAACGTTTGACTAAAGAATAATTTTTGCCTATTTTATCCTCCAACATTTTATTTTAGGCAAAAAATATTCTTTAGCCCCAAATATTGAGCCCCAAATATTCCTTAACCTTTGTTCTTTTTTTTATTGAGTATTTGGGGCTCAATATTTCATTTTAGAGTAAAAAGAGTCTTATTTTAGAGCGTTGATTGTTTGTTCAATAATGTTTTCCATCCATGAAGGGGTCTTTGTCTCAATATAAAACGTTGATGGCCCAAATTCTGAAAAATATGAATCAAAGTGATTATTTATTCAAACATTAGAAATATTTTTATTATTATTATTATTATTATTATTATTATTATTATGTCTTCATCCTTTTAAATGGATGTTTCGGTTTGGTTTGTTGTTTATGATATTGTAGATACAAAGATGTGAATGAGTACGAAGAAAAGGCGCCACATGCAAAGATGGCTCACCCATGGCCGGAGCACCTGTATCCATTGCATGTGGCCATGGGAGCTGCGGGTGAGAACGCAAAGGCCAAACTAATCCATGAAAGCTGGCATCTTGGTGCTTTTTCCTATGCTTCTTACCAGTTCACTGCAGGCTGCTGATGCTACCTGCCCTTCAATTATGTTAAATGAAGACAAGCCCTTATATTAGATACAATAAAGACAAGCCCTATTCAATTTACCCTCAAATTATGTTAAATGAAGTTTGTTCCCGTTAGTTGAGGAGTTCTACGGAACAACAACTTAATATAAGATTAAAGAAAAAGCGATCTAAAATCTTATAAACAACTTAATATTTTAAGTTACTAACAACCTAATATAATAAAAAGGTACATTGTCGGCAAAACGCTTCTTTTTCCATTGTAATTTATTGTTGGATGAAAAAGTCTTTTTTTTTTTAATTTACATAATTTTATAATCAATCATTCATGACTGATCCCAGTATAGATACGAATGATATCTAAATACCATGATAATAAATCTTATTTTTTTTATAGAAACAATTAATTTTATTTAAAAAATATAAAAAATGTTAAATTACAATAAAAATTTAAAATTATAATCGTAAATTAAGTAGATAATTAGCAAATTTTTCTATAATCATTGAAACAAAACTAGTAACTTAAGATCACATAAGGATTATTCATGGAAAGATTAAATCTAACCAAGAAACTCGAACAAAGATAAATACAAACAAATCTGATCGAATTGACAAACGAACCACAAAATGAGATCAAGCTATTGAAAGAATACCGACAAATTGCAAATCAGACTCGAGCGACGTGAAAAACTATCCACGAATGCAAATCGAGTATCCAAATCCAATCCGAGGGTCCAAAGCAGGGAATATCACAAGATATTAGATAAGTGTCATCTTGATCAGTCGTGATGATGTCAAATCAAAGATAAATAAAAATGCCAAAGAACCAAAAAAACATGCCAAAAAACATATGAAAACGTGTCATAAAGATAGATGAAAACGTGCAACATGCATTAATTCTTATTTTTAAAAATACTTTTGATTATTCGATTAAATTTATAATAACATTATTTAATTTTTATTAATATTAAATCATAAATTTAATTACGTGTAACACTATTTTTTTCTTATATAAAAAAGAAATTTATGATTCGATATTTTTGTTTTGGAAGAGGACTTTTTCTTTATAAAAAAAATCTATGCCAAGATATCAACCAAAATAGTATAGGGATTAATAAATGATATGATAAAATTATAGTGATAAAGTTGTGTTGAATTAAAACTGTACTGATTAAATCTTTACTTTTTTAAGTATAATAAATGGAGCAAAATGATAATTTGACCTATAAGTTTCAAGCGGTGGTGTTTCATGGGCTTTGGCTTAAAGATGGTCTCTTTCAAGGGAGCTGTCATTTTCCCATTTATACATTAATGATGAAAATAAATCTGATTAATGTAAATTCTAGAATTTTGTTTATGATTCCATCATTGATTTCAAGTTAAGAATATTATTTAAATTGTTTTAAAATATGTTGACTATTTTCACTTAATTTCTTCTTAAATGGTTGTCCCTTTTTCCCCATATGTATGGGGTAAGGGGAGGTAAGATAGTAGGCTGCCCCCAACACTAAATTGAGAGCAGCTTCCGTAGGAGACCTCCGAATTATGAAATGCTCTCCGTGGGACTCGATCCCACGACCTCAAGATTAAGAACCTTGTGCTCTACCAACTGAGTTGGATGGTCATTAAAGAGATACTAAAATGAATATTTTTTGTTGAGGACGCCATTAATATTTAATCTTGTTAATAGCTTTTTGAATTAAAGAAATTCAATCCTGTTAACTAACGTGAATGATTCAAGCTAGATCTTACATCTTCACAATTCGTTCGTAGATTATATTACTATTTCTATTTTCCACAATTAAATATGAAATTTTTTATTTTTCCACAATAAATTGTAGATTGATAAGTTGGTATAATTCAAAAATCAATATTAATAAATAAAACATAGGATATAAGACTATTAAAAATGAATAAAAAATATTAAGGTAAGAAAATCTCATGAATCTTTGAATTAAGAACCTTGAAATAACCTTGACCATTGAAGGAGTTTAACAGCTCAAGAACAAACAAATTGTTGAAACGTTAAAGGCTCGTAAATGTATTTTGACTTAATTTTTATTTAATATTAAAAATATACTAATATTATACTATTATTTAAAAAAGAAAATTTGAGTAAAAGAATTCCCCCGCCCCGAACAATCCTTAAAACACGCTACTTCGTAGTTATAAGGCTTTTTAATAGATTATTCTCACAAAAAAAATATTGCCTTGATTTTTATTTGATATTAAAAATAAGTGTACAAAGATATTGCTTTATTTAGTCCCTTAACTATTAAAAGTTATAAAATGGTCCCCTGACTACATGGAGTTGCTTTTTCGAGTACCTCGACTATTAAAAGTTACAAAATGATCACTCAACTATTCATTATGTTCCAAACTCGTCATTTTCTGTTAAAAAATTAACAGTTGCATGAGTTGGATGTTAACATGTTGAGTTAGATATGATAGTCATTTGAGATCGTAAGATCATATTTTATCATATCTCAGTCAATAGGTTAATGTATAGCTCAGACTACCGTAAAAATTTAACGGAAAATGACTAGTTTGGAACATAATGAATAGTCAGGTGATCATTTTGTAACTTTTAATAGTAGAGGGACTCAACAAAGCAGCTTGCTATAATCAGGGGACCATTTTATAACTTTGAATAGTCAAGAGACTCAATAAAGCATTATCTTATAGTCAGGGGACCATTTATCTACTTTACTCTAAAAATAATATTATTATAATTAAAAATTCTGAATAAAATGATGTCTTTTTGTAGTAATTTCAAGCTAGTAGGTTAATCAATCTACATTTAATTTTGAACAACTTAATAACCCTTTCATCATTGTAGAGCTCCAATATCCCATTTTAATTTCAATGAATTCAAATTAATTTTCTAACTTCCTCATTGGATCACTTGGGCGAAAATGAATATCTACAAAAACTTTATTGAGAGAGATGTGTTTGATATTCTCCTAATTATTCTTCATATAAATTCAATTTCCAATGGAGTTGTTACAGAACTTTATGAACTTCAACCAAGAAGTTTCGCTAATAATTAATGTTATGGATCGCCACTGGCATAGGTCTCGTAAATTTATTGTTACATATTCGTAGTCATTATGAACTTCAGCTATGTTTTAATGTTTGGATAGAACGTAATAAATGAAAAAGAAAACAAAAACAAGAAAGCAAAATAGAAGAGAGAAATGTAAAGGATGTATGTATTTTATTTAGATAATTAAAATAGTATAATCACTTTTTTTGTTGCAAGAATTTAAATTTGATTGTATTGAGTAAGATTGCTAGTTTGAAATTGTTATGCTATTCTTGATTTTGTTAGGGATGGAGTTGTAAATTTCAAGGAAGAAAATAACCAAACAAAATAAGGGTTATTCTTTTCCAATTTCCACATTGTCATTGCGTAACTAGGGATGGGTATTTGAACCAATCCGGAGGGTTCCCATCCGGCCCGACCTGTAACATCCTCAATACGGGGTTAGTGATTAAATTGTAAAATTTTAGAATTTGGTGATTAAAGTATAATAATTGAATAGTTCAAGGGCTTACATGGTAAATTGTTATAGGATTACATTGCAAGGAAGATGGAATTGAAGGAAAAAATGGTCAATAGCAAGTAAATAATTAAATTTGGTTATATATATCAAGCCACGTGGGTTGAAGGGGGAAGAAAACAAAAGGTTCCAGAGTTCTCTTATCCTCTTCCTTCTTCATACGTGAAGGCTTGAATCAAAGGTGAGTCTTCTTATTAGTTAATTTCTTGTTGAATTTAAGGCTGATTTATGATCATTAGATGATAACTAAGCTTAAGGAAAGCTTAAGTTATCTTAAAATCAAAAGATGATGGAGTTAGGAGAGATTACAGATTAGGAGTTTTGAATGAAATCTTGAAATAGTGTTCATAATTGGAATTGGAAGTTGGATTTAACTTGTCATCAACCTAATTAAGGAATATGAAGTGTTAGTATTGGATTTGGAACAGGTTGAAATTTGAGTAAGAATCTTGAATTCTATGTAGAGGAGTGGATTTAAAAGTTAAGGATGTATTGAATGAGTATTAATGAGTTTAAGTATGAGTAGGAGAGTTAAGTATATGTGAAGGAATTAAATATGAGGTGTTTGAGCAGAAATGAAGTAATTTTCGTGTTTAAAATGTGAATTTTGGGCAAGGGGTATCGGTACCAATTCAACAGGTATCGATACCTCAAGAGCAAAATTCAGGAAGATATTCAAAGGGTATCGATACCTAGAGGAGTGTATCGATACCCCCTTGGAATGAAAAATTTTGAATGTAATTTGGGTATCGATACCTAGGTAGTGTATCGATACACCAGTTAAGGAATGTACCGATACCCTATAGAGTGTATCGATACATACGTTAAACAAGAAATGAAATTAGCCTTCCTTTTAGTCTAAGGAATGAAATATTAGAGTATATCAATTAGAATACTGATATGGATCCATGTATGATTATGTAGATACTGAACGTAATCCCATTCCGAAACAATCGAAGAGTTAGGATCGATTCAAAGCAAGCAAGACTAAGGTGAGTGCATAATATAGGTACAATTTAATAGAAATAAGACTTGTGATAAGTCTATTTTCTAGGGTAATTTTATAGTCTAATAGTTATGTACGTGCATACATTATAGTATTTATTAAACATGCATAAGTTATTTATGTTTACATATGATTCAATACATGTTATATGACTCATGTGAATGTATTCCAAATACTTATGTCATAGAATATGAGATGGATGATTATATACACATGAGAAATATGATAGAAGAAAAGATATATGTAATTACAAAGGAAATGACATAAGTACATGTTTATATGACGTATAATATTAATGCACATGTGATGTAATATGAGAGCTCTAGGTATAGTTGGTATGCCAAGAGTCGAAGGTTTCATAGGTCCTTCGGGACATATTCACAGGTCCTTAGGGACAAATCTCATATGCCACTCAGTAGGACTTATACGAGCTGTGGTGATAGCAGATGTGCAAAAGCTCCATGTACTCGAATACCTTAAGTTCTCAGTATATACATGGGCCTATAAA